CATTGCATTGTAAATTAATACTTGTAAATGCATTGGTGTATGTGCAATGGGAGCATAACATGACAAGATTGCTTTATATCTCCAACAATTGTCGTGAAACTGCATATACAATTGGCACACTGCTAGTTTAAGCAGTAATCCTGAAGTACTTTAATACAAATGGATAGCACATACACAATGTAGTATTAACTAACTATACAGCTATTACATAATGTGTACTAAGAATGTAAATGTCTAAGTATTCACCGTGTACATTTATACATGGAAATATACATTAGTAAAGGTAAGAGTTTCAGTAATCACAATATGAATGTGTCTGGCACATTCCATGACAAAATAATTATCATTAACGATATATCATGCTAGCCCGACAATTAAACGCTGGCTGGATAAAGATACACAATACAAGTTACTCTAAATGAAGACTAACGTTATAAAAAGTAATAGTTTGATCAAGAGGTAAATCCTGGCAATATACAATAATAAATGTCACAGTCAGTTCTTATACTTTCTACACGATGCTCAATGTCACATAAATCAAGTTTTAGTAGATATTCAATTTGATTAAATATCGATTAGGGGAAGTCGCGTGATATTGGTGGTAGGTATTTTCTTTTCTGCTTCAAGGTAATTCTAGGTAATCTTCTGAAGCAGTGAATTTCAAATGCATTGATTATCTTTTCCAGACTTTTGGTGTAGGTCTTTTTTCACTTCCGTGTTGAACAATAGATGTTATCAGTGACTTGAGCAATTTGTAATTTATTGAAGTATTTATTGAGCTTGATTATTTTGTCCAGTTTTGCGAGTTGGTTTGTAGCAATCGCAGGCTTCTTCTTAATTTCGTGTTCTGAAGTAACATCTTCATTTAGGGTTGAGGTATTGGTACGTCTTCACTTCTTCTAACTCTGTGCCGTTAACTGTGATCTCACTCACTAGAGTAACACAGCATCTATAACCAATTTCAATCAGTTTTTAGAAAGAAATTCAGTCGAGAGAATTGACCTTCCCACACAGACGAATATAATTCGACTATTTCCCATCAAACGCGAATACTGACAGCCACTGGGATTTCACAGACTTATTCCTAAACAAAGTCATTCCAACACCATACTATAGATGGCGCTGTCACATAACTTTAATATTATCAGTACTTATGCCAAAGCTGCTGCAACAACATCAGATGAATGACATAAGTGCATATAAGGTTGGTTTTATCAAATAAATGATGGAGACAAAACCCTGTGATCAATCATAAATAATTTTCAGTGATTAATGCGTTTGTATATCCTACAAACGAAATTATGTGGTAAATGGTTCCAAAGAATGTTAATCTATTTTGAGTAAATTAGTTATGGTATGAAACATCCTGTGACATGCTTCAATTTAATTAGTTGATTGAGTAGTATGGCGCCAAGTAATAGTACTGTCATTTTACTTAAATGCGATAACTTGACTGTAATGTTGATAATACGTATAGTAAATTTTACAATAAAACAAGTGAATGGATTTTTTGGTCAATGCAAAAGTAAATATAGCTGGCAGGACCATGGATGGAACCATTTCACCGAATTTAAAATTGAAGTATTTTGTAACTAAATATCAAATTCAGCAATTTACAACACAGTCCACAACAATCAACGGTAACTATGGATTTGTGATGTCCAAGAGAAAATCATCAAATGCATTTTTATTGGTCCATGTGTAAACTACTCTGCACACTTGCTTGTAAGTCCTGCTGATCACATTGGTCATATTGGTAGCGGAACGATATAAACTTCTCTCTCTCTTTTCTGTGTTGAGTTTCATAAAGGAAACCCAGGCGGCTGATGCGGAATAGGTTCAGTAAATAGGGCGAAGGATTGCGGAATCAAATCAAAATGGGAAGAGATGTCACGGTTGGCGCCCGTCGTGAAAGCTTACTAGGAAAACTGGAAGCAACTCGGAATAAGGAATGATGATCGAAGTGATTTGTTGTTGAATCAGATGAGGACACAAAATGGAACTGAACTATAAACTGAGTTTAGATGACATAATTATGTATTTCTATTTTGATTTAGTGTAACTAGAAATTTAGAAGTACAAAAACCGCACTTGTGCGTAAAGGATAAACTACTCCATATAGTTTTTTATTATTTTATATTTTATGTGTGGCTGAAAAGGTCTAAAACTACATTTCTACTGCTGGGCTGCAGACCAGCATTGGGAGTTGGGGGAGAGAGAGATTGAATTGACAAACAAAATGGCGTTGAACTCAGGGGGAGGGGACCTTATATATTGTGGTGTTTTGATTTACTGTACTCGTTACTGGTATATTTTCTTTCCTGCACAGCCTCAGTTATGGTGATATACATTCACCAAACGATCTCCCACCACGTGACAGCGGGAGAGCTGAAGGGAGAAATAAGATAAGCACGTTAACAAAGATGTCTATTATTAGATCGTATTGAAGACAAGCCAGCTCCTCAATGCGGAGTAGCCACACAAAGGTCCCCCCGCATTTTACGCCACAATACCAATAGTAATCCCAACAGATAACGAGATTGCCAGGACAACGTGGCGTGACGTATGTGACATTCATCGATCTGATGTGTAGTTTTATAATTAAAATTCAAAATATATATTTTAAAACATTTTTAATTTCTGATAATTACCAATATTGTCGAATAACATGTGTTTCTTTTTAACGTCGTTTATGACACAAACACACATTGGTACATAAAAATAAAGTTTATTACGTTGGCAAAACAGGGGACACACA